ATCAACTAGATGGCACCTAACAAGGAAGAAACACAAAGGCTATCCAGAAACAGTCTAGCAAGAATATAGGACTGACAAGCTTTGACAATGGATTCACACCGTTGGATTCCTGAGTATCAGGTGTCATACAAATGGGAAGTGTTAGAAAATAAGAAAAAAAAGAACAAAAAACAAAGAAGAAGAAAATCACGTAGAAACCTTTTCTGCATATCCCGCCTACACATTCCTCAAGGTGGTCCTATTAGCATTCCTTAAGCTCTGAGGACCTTGGGCAGGTGGCCAAGCCACTGTCCAGAAAGTCTAATCTGCTCACTACTGCTGGCAGAGAAAAGCAAGCCAAGATGAGAAACTCCCTTATGGACAAATTTATGCTCCCACTCTGCCGCTCAGTCCAGACATAATAGCAGCAGGTTAATCAAGTCTCACAGAACCTCAATTTAATTACCTTTCCCAAATTTACCATAAGTAATTATAACTAAATGGCCACAAATAATTGAAAAAAGTTCAGTTGGGTGCAGGATAGCTGATCTTATCACCAAGAGCTAATGTGCAGCATTGGGAAATCTCTAATGGTCTTCCTAGTCATTAGACTGTCTATAGTTTTATCTTAATCTTTTAGTGAAAAAAGCAATAGTGGCGGCCATCTGCACCTTTATTTTCCCCACATAGACAATTTATTAGGCCATCTAGGGGTGATTATGCCTCCTCCAAAACAACAATTGACTCTGGGCTTTTTCTTTGAAATTTCCTCTCATGTAAGCAAACTACAGTTTCTTAGGGAGCCATGGTCTCTTCCCCATGTCAATTCAGGACACTGTCCTTGATTCCGAGATGGTAATAGAGAGCTGCTCCTTGGTCTTTCCTCTCACAGGAGGGGAGCTGAAGTCCTTAATTATAGGGCACTGTCTTCTTAGGAAGTTCTAGAAAATAAAGGACCCAGAATAAAAACTACAAACCCTTTTGAGTTACTCAGGAATAAGGTGATCAAACAAATAAAGGCACACGTAGTTCTTAGTTCTGGTTTTCAAAAGAGAAAGTGACAGCTATCAGCTTGGTGCAGGAGTCTGGAACGGTGCGTGCGTAGAGTAGCAGGGGTGTATGACACATAAGCCTGAAATGCTGTAGGCAATTCATCTATAAAAATGCATGAGTTAATCTGGATAACTTCATTTTTGTTTTTATAAATCATTTTATTGGGGGCTCGTACAACTCATCATTATGTCAAGTACATTTGTACATTTGTTGCCATCATCATTCTCAAAACATTTGCTTTCTGCTTGAGCCCCTGGTATCAGCTCATTTTTCCTCCTCCCTC